ACTACCAGATGCTAATGTAGTACCATCAGGAGAGTAACAAATTGATAAAACATCATTTGAATGACCATCTAATTTGGCTTTTTATTATCCTGTCTTAACATCCCATAAACAGATAGAGTTATCTGCACTACCATATACTAATGTAGTACCATCAGGAGAGTAACAAATTGAATTAACTGCATTTGAATGACCATCTAATTTGGCTTTTTATTTTCCTGTTTTAAGATTCCATAAATATACAAATCTTCCACTGCTGAAAGCTAATGTACTAGTATTATGTGAGAAGCATACTGATTTTACTTCTTCCTTTACCTTGATTCTAGACTTTATTTTTCCTGTTTTAACATCCCACAATATAATCGAATTATCATCACTACAAGAAGCTAATGATTTACCATCTAGAGAAAAGCATACCTAATTGACACTTTCAACATGACCTTCCAATTTATTTAATTCATGTATTTTGATATTCTTCCAATTACAATTAAACATTTATGCTTGATTCAAATTTATTCCACTAATATCGACATTCTGAAATTCTGATCCATTGAATATGCATCTTACAAAATTTCCACCAACTACAGAGGTATTTCTTATCCTGATATTCTCAAAACTTTATTCCCTCAAATCCACTTTCATTTAAACTAGCAAATGAAGAGAATTTGATCCACACCAAATATAAGTCTCATCTAAAGCTGTCAGATGAACTAAAAATTTTAGGAATTCTATTATCTTCTTATTCAATGATATTTTTGAGATAAGATCCTTTTTAAATTCTTCATAATCATCCATTGAATAATTCTGTGTATTAAAGTCATGATCCATAACTTTTTTGAGGACAGCTGTTATTATCTCAATGTTCTTCTCTCCATTAAGAGTCTATTCTTTATCAAGCAGAGATTAGTTTTCAACCTTTGATTTTTCTATTTCTAAAAGGAATTTGTTTTGATCATAGTAGAGAAATTCTATGCAGTTTTAGATTCTCTCTTTTTTCAATGTGTTTATCAGGATAGGGAGGAATACTTCATCAACCCCATTGGATAAGGACAAAACCTCATACAACACTTCTACTTACTCTTTTTTGTGGTGCATTACCCTTATTTTTAAAAAATTATTGTTTTTTTACTTTATTTTGAGTTTTATACTATGAATCAAAAATGTATCCTTCACATTATTGTTTGGAAGAAACATCAATATCAAAAAGATTTAGGGTGGATGCAAAGTATACAAGGGAAAACTTACATAGACTTCAGCAAAATCAGATTCTTAAAGAATA